GCCAATACTGCCAAATACCCCAATAATACTCTTCACCCAAGAGACTATGACTCTGGTTCTGTGGATTTTCCTGAATGGCCTATTCTCACAGTCCTCTTCTTGCTTCTCTGAGGACAGTGTTGGGGAGCTGCTTTCTGTAAGGGGATGAAACAGTCACAGGTGTTCTTTTATCTTGCAGCAATACTTCCACGCAGGAGGCAATGGACTGAAGAAAACCTTCCTGGAGAAGAGCCCAGATCTGCAGTCTCTACGCTATGCCTTGTCTCTGTATACACAGACCACTGACACTCTCATCAAGACCTTTGTGCGCTCGCAGACTACCCAGGGTAAGGCCCTGAGGGCTTTGGGTTTCCACTTCTTTCTGATACACATCTTCCCCTAGGGAGTCTGTATCTTCATGCCCTTGGGGATGGAACCCGTTAACTTCCTCAGAGAGCCCTTCAAAGTCAGATCTCAATTACTTGATGGGACCTCAGTACTTACCTCTACCCCATGCCCATTACCAGGCAGAAGAATCACAGAGGCCTGGGAAATATGTCTGAGATTTCTTTTCTCAGACATTACCTGGTCCATGCATGTTTATTGAGGTCAAGGAGTATACCCTGACTGGCCTGACTGGTAAGCGGCAAGAAGAAGGAAAAATCTGCGAGGAAGCCTTGAGAATGAATGGAAACCATGAGAAATGTGAAGGCTCATACATAGTGTGGGGAGCTTTGCTGGGAGTTTTCCTGGGGAGAGAAGGCAAAAGACTTTCCAGACTCTGCAGCATGGATGAGGAGACAAGGAAGAGAGGCAAACCATGGCAGCTGCTGAGGGAGGATGTGGATTTCGGGGCCCTGTGCACAGCTGAGGCTCCAGCCTCAGGGGTGATACTTATGCACAGGGGACCCAGGAAGCTGGTTTTCTCCCAGTGACTTTCAGTCCTCAGAACACCTCCCTACCCTCCAGCATGGCCTGTCCAAAACAAAACATATCTGCAAAGATATAGCTCAGATTGAAATTCTGACGCTGGTGAGAGCCTTCCCAGGAGGCACCTCAGGCACATTTGTTATGGCTGGTTCCAAGGAAACCTGAGCAGGCTACCTGGGAGAGTGAACCTGGTGGGGGAAATTGGCACCTTAGGCATTACTGAGCTGTGTGTGAATCTGGGGCACAGGGCTGACCTAGAGGGGAGAGGGGTCTAAGCAGATAGACTGGTGATAGAAGGTGAGAAAATGAAAGGGACCTGAAGTGTACTGCTCTATTTCTCATCTATTCTCATTTCTAATCCAGGGTGGGAAGAATAGAGAACAAAAGAAGAGCTGTGAGTCTTATTCAAGGGGATAGGGAGAACTTTTACAGAGCTGGGTACATGTGCAGGCATATACCATCAAGGAAGATCTGAGTTAATCCAGAAAGGCTTTTTAGAAGCATTGAGCTTTAAGCTTGATAAAACATGAGGAGAGTCTGGAATGGGCACACATATGGTAAAAGCAGGGTTGGCGACTGCAGGAAGAATCTGTGTGTTTATGTGTACATTTTCTACCCGTTGCATTATCATTTAAGGGTCTAGGAAATTAGCGCCTACAGCCTCTCTCTTGTCTCACTGCTCTCAGATACCTCCTCTCTGTATTTTTCTACTATTTCTGCCCATGATTTGGTTGATCTCTGACCCATGAAGTCTAATTTGAAGCATTCACACATTGACCCCAGCTCTTTCACTTTCTCCACTCTGCCCCACCTCTGTGTTCCCTCAGAATATGTGTAGAGCTGCTTTGAATGGCTGTTAACTCCTTAGACTGCTAACTGATTCTTCTTTCTCTGTCCTGCTGCTGCTACTACCTCTGACTTGCCTGTCCTCATTCAGTGCATGATGGGAAAGGTATTAGATTTACTGCTAATGAGGACATTCGGCCGGAAAAGGGTATGTTGTACACTATGCAGATATAGATCTAACATGGGCTAACACTGACCCCTGGGAGCTAGAATGAGCAACTTGTGCTAGGGGTTGGGGAACCAGCTATCAAAGTTTAGGAGCTCTATCCCAAGTCTTAGAGATGGGTAATGCTTTCATATAACCTAGGAAGGGGTTCTGTTGTTGATGTCTGTCCTGTTCTCAGCATTCTCCCACCCATTTGCCTCAGGACAAAGAAGGATTTTCTCCGGGGTGTAAGATAGTGGTGTTTTCTTAAAATAGGGTGGGGCCTCTGCTAAGGGGAGCCTGTAGATTGGCTTTCAGAGTTTTGAACTGGGGAGTTCGTTCTATGTAGGGGCCCCGGTTGGAGAGGGGTGAAGTCTTTCAGAGCACAGTAGCCTCCTAACCAGGGACCTCTAGGAATCGTGGGCATAGGTGGGAGGTTGCTGCTTTTGGTTACAGAGGACCCACATTTTTTCATTGAGAGACACCATCAGGTTGACATAATTCCCAGACACAGATACAAGATGATGGCACTGTCCTACCCCAACATCTTTCAATGAAAAATCCTTCAGCCTAGGAGATAGACTTTTGGGGATCCTTGAGATAAAGTCTTAGTGCACTTTTGGAAAACGTTGCGCATAAGATGCTGTCAGCTTAAGTTGTGTTACAAGACACAGCCTTTTTCTTTATCCCATTGCTTTCCCTTCTCCTATTGCTTACTTCCCATGGTTACTGTGGTAATTGTTTCTTGCTTTTGGGTATAGGATGGTAGCCTCACCTCTCAGTTTTACCCCCTAGAGTTCTCCAATGGGGGATCATCTCTCCATTTGTCCTCAGGGTCTGGTGTGGATGATCCTGTGGGAGAAGTCTCTATTCAGGTGGACTTGTTTACACACCCTGGTACTGGGGAGCACAAGGTCACAGTGAAAGGTGAGTGATGGACTTACAGGTCTGCCCTTTCCTTGCCCAGTGGCCTTACTCATCACTCAAAGGCAGGGGCTGCTCATCTCAACCCTCCAGCTCAGCCCTCCTCCAAGGGGAAGGTCACCTGGGGTTCAAGAACTGGGAATTCCTGGTGGGATCCCTTACAGGTTTCCCTTGTTTGGGCAGTGGTGGCTGCCAATGACCTCAAATGGCAGACAGCGGGTATGTTCCGGCCTTTTGTGGAGGTGACCATGGTTGGCCCACACCAAAGTGATAAGAAGAGAAAGTTCACAACGAAGTCCAAAAGCAACAACTGGGCCCCCAAGTACAATGAAACATTTCACTTGTAAGTTACAGTGTGGGGAACCTGCAGGACTCAGGGATGGGAGTAAAACTTGAGGGGGTGCGGGTAGAGGAGGGCTGGGCTGGATGGCAGACTAAGATGAAATCAGCTGAGGACTCTCAGCTCTGGCCTCATAACTTCTATCCTGTGCTCACAGCCTCCTGGGAAATGAAGAGGGGCCCGAGTCCTATGAGTTGCAGATATGCGTGAAGGATTACTGCTTTGCCCGGGAAGATCGTGTGCTAGGGCTGGCTGTGATGCCTCTGAGGGATGTCACAGCCAAGGGCAGCTGTGCCTGCTGGTGTCCCTTGGGCCGGAAGATCCACATGGATGAGACAGGCCTGACCATTCTCCGGATTTTGTCTCAGAGGAGCAATGACGAGGTGGCCCGAGAGTTTGTGAAACTCAAATCAGAGTCTCGTTCCACGGAGGAGGGGAGCTGAAACACCTTTGGCTTCTATGCCAATAAGGCAGCACCAATTTCACAAATCAGGGCCAGTGGGAGTAGGCTGTGTAACCAGCTTAGGGTTTTTGCAGTCAAGAGGCTGACCCCTTCAGTTAAAGATATTTGAGGAAAAATTTGGGGTGGTGATAATGTAGCTTTTCACAGAAAGGGTCATGAAGCACTGACCAGCAGGACTGTGGTACTAGGGGCTGGGATATGGGGTTACCACATGGAGAGATTTTCCATAAAGAGAGAGAGACAGACATTTCTGAGAGTGTCAGCCATTCTTGGTAGACACCCCTCCACTCCACATCCCACCTCTATTCGTTTCCATGCCATACCTTATCCAGTTAGACACATACATACCAATCATTAGAAGAACAAGTTTAGAGGGTATGGAACTTGTGCCTGGCTGGATGAGTAGTCAGTTAAGCCTTTTGCTGAGCCCTGTTGTCTGGATTGGAGTATGGCCAGGGCAGGAGTACATAGAATAGAATTTAGATTCCACTGATTTTCTATGGCCCCAATGAGAACAAGGCTTTGAAACTGAACAAGATACCTTCTAGAAATGAACTGTGCTAATCCTTTTCCCCAGATTATATCATGAGTAGAACCAAGTTCACGTGGTGCTTCAAAGCCCTAAGCAGAATATTTCTTTGGACCCCAGACACTAGGGGCCACCTGCCTGGGAGTCTCCCTACCTCACTCCTCTAGGCAAGGGAGTGATACTTCAAGACATGATAGGCTGTTCTAACATGTATCTACCTGAGGGCTATTTGAAGGATCCAGGAGTATTTTCTTCTTGGGTAGGCCCTGAACAAAGCCAAAAATTATAGAAGATCTAGAAAGAGTCCTGCTCATCTGTGGCCACTGCCTTCTAGCTGTCCTCCGCCTTGCAGAAAGAATCTAGACTTTGGTCTCTCTCTTTCACCTGGATTATTTGTTATTCCCCTCCTAGATATTCAACCCTACAGGAGGAGCCTGGACTCTGATCCCTCTGTACAGGCTGGATGGAGGGGGCCCTCAAAACTACCTGGGAGGTCAAACTATTTCAGAGAGTCAGCTGGACTTCCCAAGACTTGCTCAGAGATGTGATAAGGTTCTTGGATTTCCTCTGTAGCAGCCTCCTGGACTTCCTGAGGACTCAGCGTTGTCCACAGATGTATTGACCATTACATGAAACAAGAAACCAAGCATCTTTGCTGTTGTTAATTATTATATGTGCCATTGTTACAGGAGATTATAGGCTAATCCGTAATAAATTATCTCATAGCAGCCTTTGGGGTTTGGTAATTCTGCTAATGTGTGGAAAGCCGTGGAAATGACTCCTCTATAATGGCAGATTTTGGCCTAGTGGTCCTTTGTTGCTTCACACTCCTCCCTGACACCCATACCTGACAGCCAGTGGGTGAAGCCTAAAGTGGTTCTGGATGAACACCACTGGGCTAACATCCTGGCCTAGACCTGAGACCACACATCTAATTAACAGAGTCATGGGACCTATGGCACCAGCTTCCTGCAAAAGGTCCAAAAGAGTAGCAGGAGAGTTATTCTGGTGAAAACTAGTCAATTATTTTCCCTTTGTCTAGAATCACTAGGACAGATCACAGCCTGGGTTGTAAGGACAAGGCAGGGGCCCACTGGGGAGAGGTTTGCCTGCAGGTCATGGCAGAGGGCTGAGGCTGCCACAGACAGGTCAGAGGATTAGGTTTAGGACTGTACCTTGGCCTTTTATTCAGGCTCTATTCAAGGAAGAAGAGTTGCAGTAGAAAGCCTACTCCCAAAGGGGAAGAAATAAGGTAAAAGGGCTCCTGGGCAACATAGTGCTCATCTACTCTCTCAGCCTCCCCTATCATTACTTGTGGGGCGGGGACTAACGGGGCACCAGGCAGGGAACTAGGTCTGTTTCCACTGCTTGCTAAATAAATCCTTAGAGTTCAGTTGCTCATTTAAAAAATTCCTCCTCCTCCCTGCTCCTCTCCCAAGCCAGCCACTTCACATTTCTGCCTCAAAATTACCTCTTGAATTCATTGTGTCCCCTCAGTTCTCACTACCACAAGAGTCGTGGCAGCTTTCAGGTCCTCTTGCCTGAGTTACTGTCACAATACCCTGCTTCCGTTTTTCCCCTGCTCTCTTTACACACTGTAATAAATCTTTCTCCTATTAAAGCTATTCAGTGGTCAACGATAGCCTCCATGCCGAAACTCCAAGACCCTCCAAGATAGCGCAACCGGCACCATCCCCCTTCCCCCCATCCTGCAGCTATTCTAAAGTACTGGCTCCAGCAAGTCCCTGACACGCATTGTGCGCTCCTACCCCTCAGTGCCTGCACATGCTGCTCTCCTTGCCGGAATGTCTGCCAGCCTTTTCTACTGCTTTCTAGGCTCCGGTATCTGAACGCCTCGCCACAGCACTCTACATTGTTATAATTTACTTGTCTGTCTCCCCTCATCAGCCTGTGATCTACCCAAAGGCAGGATCTGAGTGTTTGATTTCCATTCCCCCAGCGGCCAGTGTAGTTCAGGTACTTCAAAGCCTGACCGGCAGCCAGAGGCCCCCTCCTTCGGGAAACCACATGGGTCGGGCGCCTGAGGACAGGGGTGTGGCCAGAGGCGGGATCATGGGAGATGGGCGTGGTTTGTGGGCGGGGCTCTGCTCTAGGCCGGAACCTGGGGCTCTACAGCGCCTGCGCAGAAAGGTGCGTTAAGATGGCTGTCGCTGGAGTCCGAGGCTGTGCGGCGACGGTGAGCTATAGGCGCCCAAAGGGGGCGCCCGTGTAGAGGTTATCGTCTTCTCCCTCCCAATATTCCTTGAAGAGACCTTCTCCCCTCAATCTACCCTCTCAATATTTCCAGTGTGTCCATCCTCATGTTTTGTTGAGACCGCTGCCTCCAGACACTCCCACAGAGGACATATTTGTCGAGGTTAGCTAAGAAAGGGGGCTTTATCCCCGTAAAATTCCTAAAGGGCACACATTCTTCCAGTTATTTTCATGAAGCAGATACCCCCAAATCTCCAGCAATTGCACATTCCTGTTAACTCAGGGAGTTTTCCACTTTTCCAGCACTATTCAGATTCTCTGAGAAGCAATAATCCTTGTCCCATACTTGATCTGAAGTGGCGCATTTGCTATCATTCCCTCCCACTCTCTTTTTTTTTTTTTTTTTTTTTTTGAGACGGAGTTTAGCTCTTGTTGCCCAGGCTGGAGTGCAATGGCGCGATCTCGGCTCACCGCAGCCTCCGCCTCCTGGGTTCAGGCAATTCTCCTGCCTCAGCCTCCTGAGTAGCTGGGATTACAGGCATGCGCCACCATGCCCAGCTGATTTTTTGTATTTTTAGTAGAGACGGGGTTTCACCATGTTGACCGGGATGGTCTCGATCTCTTGACCTCATGATCCACCCGCCTCGGCCTCCCAAAGTGCTGGGATTACAGGCGTGAGCCACCGCGCCCGGCCCCTCCCACTCTCTTATAGGATGCCTACTCCAGAGGGAAGTGTCAAACTCTGGCTAGCTACCCATGGTTTCAGCAGGCTTTCAGATTTGAATTAGCCACTGATTTCTGTAGGCTATATCTAATCAGAATTAGAACAGAAGTACCTTTAGCAGTGGACTTTTAAGGAAGAAAAATCACATCTTTCAGCTTAAGTTGTAGCCCATGTATTCATTGTGAATTTTTGGACTGACTCCCTGAATGATCCTCCCAAGTCCAGAAGCAGACAGGCAAAGCTGAAGAAGCGACAAATAATGAAAATGGTATTGAAGTAACAGTCAGAAGATTGGGCCCAGCTCTGCTACATTCTAGTCAGGAGATGACCTTTAACTTCTCAGAGCCTCAGTAACTTGCATCTGTTACCTAGGACTAGTAATTCCTGCATGTCTACCTCAGAGGGATCAAATGGGCTCATATATGTGAAAGCACTCTAAAAACTATACATTTTCTCTAAGTGTATAGGGAATTATTATAAATGATCCTCTGAGTTCTAATTAACTTCCAAGGAATTTGTCTTGCTTGGTCCTGGGTTCAAATGTAACAGGTATTTTTTGAGCACTTAACTATGTGCCAGGTATTCGTCTAGGCATGAGACTTAGCGTTGAACAAAAAGAGACAAAAACCCCTTATAAATTTAAGAGTGGGTCATCAGCATATTAAGTGCCTACTAATTACCCAGTGCAGCGTCAAAGCGTGGTGAAGTAGTAGGAAGAATCTGGATTCTAGACTTAACTGTGCCACTATATAGCTGTGTGAGAAAGACTTTTTCCCTGTGTGAGCTTGAACTTCCTCATCTGTAAAATAAGGAAGTTAAACAAGATAACCTCTAAGATTCTTTCCAGCTAAAATATGTTTATCACTTGAGATTCTAATTGCTTAAGTTCACTGCCCCTAAGGAGCTTATTGCCCTGCTGGGATAACCAGACTGGCAAAGCTGAACAGTCATAGAACTACAAGGACAGGAGTGCTGATGTTACACTAGGTTCAGCACAAGAGTGGTAACAACAGTGTTGCTCTGTAGGTAATAGAGTATTTAGAGAGACTTGTTGGACTTGGGAGGATGGGAGGCTTTGGATTAGAGGAAAAAGAGGAGATTCTCTTGCAAATGTTGCGAAGTGAATGAATGGAAGTATAAAGGAGAAGAAAATATGCCATTTATTATTTTTCTAGTGTATCATAGTCCTGGCAGAAAAATAGTTGGTATTTAAAAGGGTTGAACTGAAAAGAACCCATATAGAGGTATGGGCAGTGTTAAGCGGATTAACAAGGAGTGGTGAAACAGACTAACAACTGGTGAATTAGTAGCACTTCTAGACCTGAAAGGGAAAGGTTTGGAAAGTATTGTTACCAGAGCCCAGCTAGAGACAACTTTGTAAGAGGGACTGCCTGACAAGAGACATAGTGATAATGCCAGGTGCAGGGTCTCACGCCTCTCAACACTCTGGGAAGCTGAGGTAGAAGGATCACCTGAGGCCAGGAGTTTGAGACCAGCCTGGGCAACATAACAAGACCCTGTCTCTACAGAAAACCCCAACAGATTGGTTTTTGGATCTTGCACAAGAAAGAATTTGAGGCAAATTCATACAGCAAAGTAAAAGCGGGTTTATTAGGAAAGTAAAGGAACGAAAGAATGGCTACTCCATAGGCAAAGCAGCCCCAAAGGCTGCCTGTTGCACATTTTTATGGTTTTTATTATATGCTAAACAAGGGGTAGATTATTTATGCCTCCCCTTTTTGGGAGTGTAGCAGTGAGGACGACCAGAGGTCACTCTCATCACCATCTTGGTTTTGGTGGAGTTTACCAGCTTCTTTACTGCAACCTGTTTTATCAGCAAGGTCTCTGTGACCTGTATCTTGTACCAACCTCCTGTCTCATCCTGTGACTAACTGTCTGAGAATGCAGCCCAGTAGGTTTCATCCTTATTTTACCAAGCCTCTATTCAGGATGAAGTTGCTCTGGTTTAAACACTTTTGACAATGTTATCATTTATTTATTTATTTTCAGTGTCTATGGGTCATAGTATCATTATTTAATCAAACACTAATTTAGGTTTTTCTGGCTGGGTACAGTGGCCCACGCCTGTAATCCCAGAACTTTGGGAGGCCCAGGCGGGCAAATCACTTGAGGTCAAGAGTTGAGACCAGCCTGGCCAACATGGTGAAACCCCATCTCTACTAAAAATGCAAAAATTAGCCAGACGTGGTGGTGCATGCTTGTAATCCTAGCTACTTGAGAGACTGAGGTGGGAAGGGAAGATCACTTGAATCCTGGAGGTGGAGGTTGCAGTGAGCCAAGATGGTGGCATCACTACACTCCAGCCTGGGCAACAGAGTAAGACTCTGTCTCAAATAAATAAAAATAAAATAAAAATTGTAGTTTTTCTGTGAAGGTATTTTGTAAGTGTGCTTAACATATATAATCAGTTGACTTTATGTGAAGGAGGTTACCCTCTATAATGTGAGTGAGCCTCATCTGATAAATTGAAGGTCTTAAGGACAGAAACTGGGGTTTACCAAAGAAGAAGAAATCCTGCCTGAAGACTCTAAAAGTCCTACCTGAATTTCCTGAGATGTATATTTTTATCTCTATATGTAGATATTTATATATGTATCTATAAATATATATATCTTTCTATGTATATAAAAAAATAGATAATTCCTATAGATTCTGTTTCTTCAAAGAGACATATATCGTTCCTGGACTGAATGTTGTTTACAGGAAGTTGAAGTCTTCACATTTTTTGAAAAAACAATTCATGCACAAAGTTATACAAAACCTTAAGTAGCCAAAGGGTATAGAGTGAAAATTATGTCTCCCTTCTACCCCTAGTGTCCTACCTCCCAATTACTCAGTTACTCTACTGTTATTAATTTGTTGTAAATCTTTCCAAACATGAATATAACTAGAACATTGAATAAATGGGACCCATAGAGGCTAATCATAAAAGCACTTTATTTTTGTCTCTTTTTTTTTTTAAACCAGACTATTTCCCTCTTGCCACTAAGAAAAAGCAGGCCCCATTTCTTTTTTAGTGGCAAATATATGGAAAATTCCAGATAAAAGTAGTTATTCAAGACGAGTGAGAGAAAGTGCCCTCTTCTTGCTGTTCCCTCTCCCCTTTACCCTTAACTTTACTTCAGCCTCTGAGAAACCTCCTCTTTCTACGTAACTCCTTTTGAAAACCACTGCTTTACATTATTTTCTTGAGTAAGGAAGGAAATTGACAGCTTCCCAGAGTGTTGGAATTACAGGTATTGCCTTTTATTATAGATGAGAAACGCTAGAAAACTGTGGGAATGAATCATTTAAGTATAAATGATTTAGGAATCCAAGCTAAGAAACAGAACTGAGGTTTCCAAATTTCCTGTTAGTGTTTTATTATCTCACCCTTGCTCTTAATTTTAAAATCAATAACGTTTGTTTAAAGGAAAGCACACTTGGTTTCTGAGATGCTCTTCAACAAACTCTTTTTTTTTTTTTTTTTTTTGAGAAAGAGTCTCACTCCGTCACCCAGGCTGGAGTGCAGTGGCTCAATTTTGGCTCACTGCACTCTCCGCCTTCTGGGTGTAAGCGATTCTCCCACCTCAGTCTCCCAAGTAGCTGGAATTACAGACATATGCCACCATGCCTGGCTAATTTTTGTATTTTTAGTAGAGGTGGGGTTTGACCATGTTGGCCAGGCTGGTCTCAAACTCCTGACCTCAGGTGATCCACCTGCCTTGGCCTCCCAAAGTGCTGGGTTTACAGGCATGAGCCACCACACCCGGCCAACAAACATTACGGACTACGTGCAAAATAGTTAAGACTAGCTCAGTAAACACTGAATCATTTCTACTGACTGAAAGAAATAGAAGGTAAGCCATCCCAAAGGATCAGTATTATGTTATCTAATAAGGAGTTTACTTTGTGAGACTGAGAAGTTACAAGTGCCAGAAGGAGATTGTGTAGACTCCAGTAGTTGTTCAGACCCAAGTAAAAGTCCCAGACAGAAAAGAGGGGTATTTATAGCACACAGTAACTTTATGAAGCCTGCCTTATAGACTGAGAACTCCTGAGGAAGACTGTGAGTTTGGAAATAAAGGTGATAGCTAAGAAACTAGTGTTTTAAAGATTCCTGTCTACTCCATTTTGTGTTTAAATATTATTTTATATTAATCTTCAGCTCTTTAAGCCATCTGAAACCAAAGTCAAGTTTATTGAAAAGTTATTAGGGAGTCCATGAACCACTTTGGGAAGGAGAAAGTTGTAAATGA